ACAGTCGGGAGCCGCGCCCGCAGCCGCCGGCCGCGCGGCCGGACGAGGGGGCGATGGAGCTGGAGCCCGAGCTGCTGCTGCAGGAGGCCCGCGAGAACGTGGAGGCGGCGCAGAGCTACCGGCGGGAGCTGGGCCAGAGGCTGCAGGGGCTGCGGGAGGCGCGGAGGCAGGTCGGAGGGCCGCGCCCGGAGGGGCGCTGTGGGCCCCGGGGAGGGCGCCGGGTGCCCGGCGGGTGGGCGAGGCAAGGAGGGCTCCGAGGGGTGGGAGTGTCCGAAAACTCCGAAGGGAGAAGGGAAGAGGCTCTGAGGTGCAGGGAGACGTAGCTGGGTCTGGGAATGGGGAGGTGGGTGCTGGGGGGAGGGTTTAAGGAGAAGGGACAAGTTTGGGGGATCGCGGGAGAGTGTGAGGGGCGTTCCCTAAACTGTGGGACGGTAATGGGGCTGGGGGTGGGGTCCGAGGTGGGGGAGAGTGAGGGACCGGAGCACAATCTCAGGGCGTCACAGAGGGTAGTGGTAACTGACGAGAGTTGGGGGAGGTGGAGATTCTTTGGGAAGACGTACTGTGGTGATGGAGATTGACTTTGGAAAGCTGAGGAAAATGTGGGGCAGTGACTTGGGGAGACCTGAAGGTGGAGGCAAGATGGGTATTGGAAGGGGAGGAATAAAGAGAGAAGCAGTAGAGTTAACATTAAATGAATGGGATTAATGCCTGAAAATAGTACTTAATATCTCATATGATCTTGAATACAGTAAAAAAAAACATTTAGCATAACCCCATTCTGGATGGTGTAGAATTGGAGGTGAAGCTGTGTTGGAAGGGCAAAAGAAGGAGAATGAAATAGTTGAGCGATGGAATACAAAGGTGTAGGGAAATGGAAAAAGATTTAAAGAGAGAAGTGCTGAAAGGAGACGCTAAATATACTTTTAAGTGACAGCAGTTATCTATTCCATGGGGACAATGGCTATCGAAGATATAGGAAAGCCACGTGGTTTCTCTTCACTCTGGAACATATACAGAAAAAGATATAACCCACTGTCAATGTGTAATAGGACAGAAAATCCTCAAGCTACTGTTAACACAGGTGCTTAATAAATGCTTTTTGAGTGAGTGGGATTCCATCTGAGTGGAATCGTTTGTGTGATTGGGAATCCATTCAACCTTTGAGGGAGTGGGGGGCGGTTCTCTACATCACACTTGATATTAATCTATATCATCATCCTCGTAACTCCCAAGCTGCATAGAATCTGAAAATGTACAGCTGGTAGAATAGTGCTGTGATAACAGTGCCTTTGGATATTCTCATCATTAAGAGTACTCACCATGCTTCAGGTTTTATGTATTTTAAAATCCTAGTAGAGCTGGTGTAGGCCAGGTATCATTTGTAGTTTAGTAGCAAAAAGGAGCGAAATCTAGTTAAGGTTATCCTGATTTGGTGAATGCTTTTCAAGGCCTTCCAATGCATTTCTCTTGATTTCCGTTTGAAAATGTCTGCATTATTCCTTCTGCTATTTTGAAATAGAGGTTCTAAATCTAGGACATTGTTTTAAAAGAAATTAAAGTATTTCATGTATGACTAATGTTCCAGCCAGTTAAGGTATCTTATATATGAGCAGGACTATTGTTTAACTGCATCAGCAATTAAGACGCAGCAGAGTTGAGACTAAATGAATGAGCTCAGCACTCGGGAGTAGTGCTTATTAATTTCTTGTGTGATATTGAATGCATTAAAAAATGTATTATGATCCCGTTTTGAATGATTTAGTATTCTGTTTCCCAGACTATATTCTTTTAAATTTTATATCCAGTAATTTATTTTATTTTTTTGTAAAGAGATCAGCCCTGTGCTAACTGCTAACATCTGCCAATCCTCCTCTTTCTTTGCTGAGGAAGACTGGCCCTGGGCTAACATCCGTGCCCATCTTCCTCCACTTTATATGGGACACCACCACAGCATGGCTTGACAAGCGGTGCGTCGCTGCTTGCCTGGGATCTGAACCAGCGAACTCCGTGCTGCCGCAGCGGAGCGCGTGCACTTAACCGCTTGCACCACCGGGCCGGCCCCTATATCCACTAATTTAAATACATACTTTCCTATAATTTAGTGTAGTTGAGTATGGGTTTTTGTTTTGTTTTCGAGGCCCATTGTCTTGGGGTTGAGACAGAAAACACTAAGAGAACATCCATCACAGTTTAGGTTCCTGATGATATTGCCTTCTGACTAGACTGAGTAATAGTGGAGTTCTCTTTTGTGAACAAGAATGTGTTTTGCGCCGGTGCCGGTTACAATGGCATCTCTCCTCGAAGCTAGTGGATTGTACACGTTTGGATTTGTAGAATAAAGCCTCTGTTAACTTGGATTTTAAGGAAGGTCTGTGTTACAAACATGTTATCAAAATAAGCAGCTGCTTTTGTTTGGTGGTTAGGATATTTTTAGGACTCAGTCATTTTCAGAATAACTACATAAAATAGATGGCTTTTTAGTCAAAGGTTTTGCATGGGGGATGGAGGAGAAGAGCAGAGACGAAGGGATGCTCCCCTTTCTATATATTTTTTACCTGCTGATTTTATTTCCTTTTGGCATATGGTTTTTTTATTGATATAATTTACATACCATAAAATTCATGCCTTAAAATATACAATTCAGCAGTTTTTAGTATATGCACAAAGTTGTGCAACCATCACCACTGTCTAATTCCAGAACATTTTCATCACCCCAAAAAGAAATCCCATACCCGTTAACTGTCCCTCCGCCAGCCTTTGGCAACCACCAAACTACTTTGTTTCTCTGTTTGGATTTGCCTGTTATGGGACATTTCATAGAAATGGAATCATACAATACGTGGCCCCTCGTGACTGGCTTCTTTGACTTAGTATAGTGTTTTCGAGGTTCATCCATATGCTAGCATGTATCAGTACTTCAGTCCTTTTTATGGCTGAAAAATATTCATTGTATGGATGTACCACATTTATCCATTCATTGATTGATAGACGTTTGGGTTATTTTTACTTTTCGGCTATTATGAATAATGTTGCTATGAAAATGCATATACAACTACAAGTTTTTGTGTGGACACATTTTCAGTTCTTTTAGTATACACTTAGGAATTGCTGGGTCGTATGGTAACTCTTTGTTTAACCTTTTCAAGAAGTCCTGGCATACTTTTTATCTTTGCTTTTGTTTCTTACCCTTTAAAAATCTCTCATGAAATTTGTTTCGTATTAAAGAAATCATGTCTATGAAAGTCTAGCAGGAAGAAAAGTAAAAATCTTTGAAGTTATTCTGTCAAAAACAACTGCCAGCATGTGGCAGGTTCTCCTCTTGTGGTTAAGTTTAGGCCCTACCCCTGGTCTTCAGAGAAAAGGAAGTTCTGTGTAGGAATGCAAGGGTAGTCTGTAACTCTTACTGTTTGAATAAGTTAAAGTCTAATGTTTACTAGCCTGGCCTAACTGGTGTTGAAATCGTTAAGAATAGTTCTCTATAGCTCCCTGGAATCCTTTGTACTAAGATGTAAATACCAAAGAAATTAACTCCCACTCTCCTTAAATACTTGTTTGTTCATTCACTCAATAAATATTTATTGGGTGCCTGCCTCCCATGGGTCAGAGATACTCTGGGTCCTAGAAATACTGCGGTGAGGGAAACATAACGCTGCCCTCAGGGATTTATTTTTTCCTTTGGTGGCTGATCGTTAGACTATTACCCCTAAAAATGAAACAAATAGGAAAAACCCAAATTCTTGTGTATTCGTTTTTAGATTTCACTTCCATTGTGTTTTTCATCCCTTGTTTATTTCTATGGTTGGCTTTCCTACTTGTCATAAGTGGAGATAAGTGGAGATAGCAGATCAAGATGTCACGTAGCGATGTCAGCTGGCACTACCTCACAGAGTGACACTACCTTGATGACATTGCCACTGTCCAGAGTCTAGTCCTTAAGCTTCGCAGGTCCAGAAACTCTGTCTTTGTACGTTCTCAAAGGGGGATTAGTTTGACGTACTGGAGGTGCCTACAGTGAGAAATACCAGTATTCTAGTCTGTACAGTTATAGTTCACTCTATAAAATGAGTGTGTTGGCTTTCACATGCTTAGTTAACGTGATTCTGTGTCTCTCGGGGCATTGACAAAAGCAAGACCCTGCTCTTCAGAGGAAAGGGCCAGATCCTGGTACCTAATTAAGATACTGTTTGGTGAGGACTCTGGCCAGGGGTGTCCCTCTGAGCCTTGCTACTACAAGTGTGGTCTATGACCACAGCAGTCATGACCTGAGAGCTTGTGAAGAATGCAGGAATCAGGCCTCACCCAGACCTACTGAATCATAATCTGTACTTTAACAAGATCGCCAGGTGTGATATGTGTGCACATTAAAAAGTGAGGCACACTGCCTTAGAGTATACCATTACCACTTCATCAGCTCTCTACTGATTTCTGTAGTTTAATCTAAACCATAGGTGTGTCGTCATAAATTGCTGTGGTTTATCCTCAAGATTAAAACTAATGTACAATAACAGGTTCTCCATAGATCATTATTTCCACAGGATTTGAAAACACATAGCATACTAGTTAAAAACTGGGACAGATATAGAACTCAGCGGGGGAAAAAAAAAAGTTATTTCAGAAAACCAGGGCAGGAAGTCTTAGTAGCTCTGCAAAGAAAAGAAAGCTATTATTGCTTCTTTTATCTCCCACTTCCCCTTCTGTTACCCATTTTCAAAACAGTCCAAAAATCTGTTTGAAAATAATTTGTTACTGCAGTAGTACTTACAATGTCCCTATTGTAGTGTCCTAAGAAAAGGTTAAATCTAGAGCTGGAGAAAACCAAGAACAGATGAAATAATTTAAGATAACCCGTAATTCTACTACTTACGACAACCACTGTTAACATTATGGTGTATCTTTCTAGACATATTATTTTGCAAAATTGAGAGACTACTGTATATGCAACTTCGTATCCATTTTTTTCTTTTGGTTAGCATTATATCATAAGCAGTTATTATGAAAATTTTCCCATATCAGTCTAATTTTTAGTGTAGAGGTGAACAGAGTCTATTGCATAGGTACTTCTGCAGCATTTGTTGGTGGCCAGGTGACATGTATTGACTTAGGTATACCAAAATACTGGAAACAAAGCTCTAGAAGCAAATCTAAATAATCAACAACCAAGAAAAAAAAA